AAGGCTCTCTCATTTCCTTAGATTACTCTTTCTCCCTAGGTTATCTCATATGGAGCTTCTCGAACTTCTTCATACTGTGGTACACAGAGAACATGACAATATGTGTACAACTTCTTAGAACTGGAGATCTCTGGGCCTGGTGTGATGGCTTACACCTGTAATCCTAACACTTTGGGAGGCCAAGGCAGGCAATTGCTTAGGCCCAGGAGTTTGACACCAGCCTGGGCAACTTGGTGAAACCTCATCTCTATAAAAAAAAATACAAAAAAATTAGACAAGTGTGGTGGCTACTCAGCAGGCTGAGGTGGGAGGATCATTTGGGCCTGAGAGGTTGAGGCTGCAGAGAGCTATGATTACAGCCTGGGCAACAGAGTGAGGAAAAAAAAAAAAGAACTGGAGTGGCCTAAAGGTTTTAATCACTGCCTTAGCAACATGTCTGTTTTATCACAGCACATCCTATGGCACACTGGTAGGGCCCTGGGTAGTTCTGAATCAACATCCATGTATTTAGCTATTACCAATATGCAAATAACAGACAATTATATATATTTGGCCCAGGCCTTGTTTCTTAATCCTAAGAAATAAAGGCTAAGAAGAGATGTGACAATTGGATCTACAGGTCCCCGTTTGGTCCCAACAGGACCTGTAGATCCAATTGTCACATCTCTTCTTAGAGATGTTGGGACAAAACAGGGACCTATAGATATAATTGTCACATCTCGTCTTGGATTTTTGATAGCATCTGTAATACTTCATGTCTAAAACTAAGTTCATTATCTATGTTCCCCAAAACTTGGTCTTCCTCTGGTGTTCTCCATCTTAGTGTAGGTAATCACAGCATGGAGTTGTATGGCTAGAATTCTATGAGATATCCTTCTCCTTCACTCCCATGTGCAATCCATCATCAAGCTCTGTTCAATCCACCTTCTTAATATCATCCTTTATCTATCCATCTCTACGACCACCTGAGTCCAAGCTACCAAAATAGTTCACTTAAATTGACTGAATTACTAAAATAACCAAGGAAGTCATCTATCCTTGTCTACTCTAGCCAATCCTCTAATTCATTCTCTAATCTATAGAGTGATTTAAATAGTAATAATAAAGATTCAATCCAGTCATCCCTTTGCTTATAGCAATATTCCTTAACATGACCAACAATATCCTAGATGGGCTGATTCATATTCATTATTCTGGTCATCTGTTGCTGCAGAACAAGTTGCCCATATGTGATTGTAGTAAGAATTTGGCTAGGGCTGGAGTCATTTGAAGGCTTAATTGGGCTTGGCATCCAAGATGACATCTCCCTTCAAATGGCTGAGGGGTAGTCAGGCATCTTTCTACGGGGCTAGTTTCAGGTTCCATAATGTATGGCAGTCTCAGGGTGTTCCACTTCTTACATGACAAGTTACTTTCCCCAGAGTTTACTTTACAAAATAAACCAAGATAAAAGCTGTAAAACCTCTTCTGACCTAACCTCAGCATATCCTCTACCTTATTGTAGAGTCAAAATCAAGTCATAGAATCTGCCCAAATTCAAGGGGAGGAAACTGAATATCAGAAGACATAGTACTTTTAAGGGGAAAGAGAGCCTTCAGAGCTCTCTCCAATCCCATTTTACGGCACATTCCCTATTGCTGTTTCCATTTTAGCCATGTTGACCTTCCTTAAGTCCCTTGTACTTGCCATACTCCATCTGCTGATGGCTTTGCCAATACTGCTTTCTTTGCCTAAAATGTTCTTGGGTTACCCCTTTTGCCAAGTTAACTCTTTTCAACTTTCTGATTTCATTTAAGCATGAAGAAAGCCTTCCCCAACTCCCTCAACAAAATTAAAACTTAATTTATACTCTTAAGGTATTGCATATATTTCCAGCACTGTCTTCATCCCCACTGCATTTTGCATTTGTTTGTATGATTACATAATTTATTTCTCAATACTCCTACTACATTGGAAGAGGAGCCATTATCTATTTTTCCTCTCCTACCACAGACTTCAGCTGGAATTTATTTATTTATTTGCTGAATAATAAAAGAAATAAACTAAGTAAATCAAACTGCCTGCCTCTGTATAACGAATTATTTTCCCTTTATGAATTATAGTGAAGCATATAATCCCATTACCATATTCAATACATAATGAGACAACCCCAGATATAAACAATTTTCACAGAGAAAATGTTAAAAATTCAAAGCTCATATTCTTTTGTTATATCCCACCTACAAAATTAGCAGATATATAAAGGAATCAGTATGTCAAAATTGTTTAAGTTTTGTGGTATTTCTTTCCATCTCCTTTCAAATGAGCCTAAACACGTTTTTAATTTTCATTTCTATACCTCAACAAAAAATTTCAAGTATACTAAATGAAGCACTGTAAGCAGGGGAAGAGTGATTTCTTACTCTATGCACGAATCCAGTACTGACAGCAGAGAACGCTAGACACATTCCACTTAGAAACCCACATGGATTGTTACACAGACCACACATGATTTTTCTTGTGCTAAAACCAAACACACAATACTGTTCTCTGATATGCTGTTAATAATCTGTCTAGAAATAAACACTCCACCCACTTTCAACCTGAAATGAACTATTTTATCTTGGAAGTAGGAACTAACTAATTTTGAAGGTAACAGAAAGAGCAAAAGGTTGGACTGGAGAAAATATTCACTAGTTAGAGCTTTTAACTTCTTTTTTTAAATAAAAGTCTGAATAATCATAAATAGCATCATGAACTAAAATTCATTATCAGAAAGTGCATTCTATTTCTGGTAGAATTCTGTTAACCCTAATGGTTATCAACTACCAAACACATCTGATCTAGGGATAGAATTTTTTTACAATCTGAAATAATTCAGTCATGTGTTTATTTATTCTTTCTTCCTACTACAATATAGGCTTCCTGAGGATATAGGATTGATCACTCTTATCCCCCTAGAGCAGTGTCTGGTACATTGTGTCTTTCAATAAATTAATAAATGAATGAATAGTGGTGGTTTTCCAGAATTAGATCTTGTGTTAATACTCTTGTGTTAATAAATACATTGTAATAAATACTCATAGTATTTATTACACTGCATATTTGTTATTTATGAAGAAAAATATTCTGTCAGAAATGAAAATAAAATGCCTTTACCTCTCATTGATGCTTCTTGGTAAGTGTATGTCATATGAAATTAAGAGTTTCTCTAATTATCTAACCTGTCTTATTCACCAATTAAGAAAAAATATATTCTACCATAAGGCAAAAGAAGTTTTTTGCTAAATCATTGAATTTCTCTGGTTGTTAAAAGTTTTCTAGAATGACACTACTTTTTCTCAGTGGCTGAAGTGGAACTTATCCTTGTGAAGTTTGAGGAATCTTATTAGGTTAAACAAATATATGGCAAACAATAAAGATGTCTACAAGCAGGTCCCTGAGTGTAACAAAATTTAAAAAAAATAATTTATCCACTAGTTGAGGACACAAAAATGGTTTATAGGACAATTACTTAAATTGAAACTTTGTCTCCAAATAAACTTTCAAATATTTTGCCATAAAAGGCTGATGTGATAAAGTTGAAACATTCATTACTGAGTGTTAAGTCTATTGTATACAATACAATTTAGATAACAGTAAAATATTCATATCAAATTGGCCTATTAAAGGAAATTCTCTTACCTGGTATCCTCTGATACAAGTTTAATGCTGACCAACAAACATGACTTGTAGGTTTTCTGCAGGCAAGTCTCTGTACCATATTTCTCAAACCATGGATCACACTGAATTATTTACAGCTAAACATCTTTTTCCTTTGTTTTGCTTATTAATAAGTGTGGATTAAGATCTAGATAATTGATTTTGAAGTTGTAAAATGTTAAATAGAAATTTTAATTACTAAGCAAGTTTAGCCTGCTCTACATCAGCTCTAATTCCAGACTTGAACTTAAAAAGTTGTGTTACAAGAAACATGACCTACTTATATTTACAAAATCATTAACTTTTGCTTCCGTGCGTTTATAAACTTTGCTCATACTCAGCCAAAAAAAAGGGAGATGCACTTAAGGAACATTTGCAAGTGCCATCTTGACCAATCTTTTCACTAACCTAAGTGGTTTTCTTTAAGTCTTGCCTTCCATTTTCTTGTAACTCCTGACTCCACCTTTTTTTTTTTACTATAGTAATCAACTAAAAGGCTAAGAACAACGATCGATTTTAAAATAAGTCGAATAGTTTGATAGATTCCATATTTCTCCCAATCCCATTGCCATCTCATCTTTTTTTATTCTTGAGAAAAAAAATACAAATATATGTAGTATTAATGTGAGTTACTTTTTACATGTTAATTTCAATCTCACCCAGATATGTATAAAAAAATATCCTATCATCCCTATCAGAAGTAAGGTCTTTCCTTCTCATTCACAGTTAAATCTAACACATACTCCTTAAAAGTAGGAGTAAAAGGGAAGGGCAGGAATTTCAGACATATTAGGAATATTGATTAACTGTATTAGTTTTGGATATGGCAATTCACTGAGTGAACAGAGCACTGTGGGTGAATGGTAGCAGATGCATACTGTTCAAGCTAAAGCCCTTCAAGGACAGATGCCAAGGTGAGCAATACTCCTGGTTTCTCAGCAACGGAAAAGGATTTGTGAATGATTGTGAAAGATTTGCACCACCTCCTAGCTTCACTTAGGTTCTGCTCTGAAAACAGCTAAGCACAGCTTGGGAGATTCATGTCACATCCCGTAGCCCTGGGTAAGAAGTGGTGAAATACAAACACTCACATACCCCACCACCACCACCACTACCACCACCATCACCACCATCACCATCACCACCAGAAAAGCCCTGCGGAGAAGCTATCGGGCAGGCGGGCTCTGCTTGGGAAGGCACAGTCAGCATCCTTCCTCAGCCCAAGCCAGAGGCTATCCTCCATCTCCAAGCTAGAGCTTTCAGGTCTTTATCCTTCTGGGCATTTCCTTGCAAAGTAGAGGGATCTACGCTGGCCTTACCTCTGGGGCTGCTTTCTTGCAAGTACGGTGGGGCGGTGGGAGTGATATTTCCGGAGTGGGATGCTGACAGCAGAGGCGAGCGTTCGTCCACCCCATCAGCAGCCATTACTGCGGCAGCTGCGTGGCCTGGGGAGGCTGAGCCGGGGTTGCGGCCTCGGCAGAGTGGTATCTAGTGCTGCTGCCGCTGCTGCTGCCGCCTCCGGGAGGGCCCAGGATGTGTCACAAGGCAAGAGGCTGGGGGGGGGGGGGGGCCGGGAGTGGGGAGGAGAGGGGAGTGTGGGACTGGGAGGCGGGGGAAGGGAAGTGCGCTGGGAGGCTTGGCTGGGGGAGGGGAGGGGAGGGAGAAAGAAAGAAAGGGCTGAGTGGAAGAAAGGGGAGTGGAGGAGAGGGAGCCGAGCTAGCCAGAGAAAGGGGGAACCAATTAGGACCACCTGGGAAACAAGAGGAAAGGAAGATGCTGACTAACTGAAAGAGGGTCGAGAGTAAATGGGATGGAGGGGGCAAGTCCTTTTCTCTAGAAAAAACGGGTTAAAAAGCAGCCTGAAAGGGGCTAGCGACAAAGAAAGACCTGTGACTTGATTACAGGAAAACTGAAGCAAAAGCAGATTATCAAGTTTATCTCTCGTAGGGAGGAGGAGGGGCTGACTCTTTGCTGTCAAACTTTGCAGCAGTTATATAAAGAAAGCGTCTACCTGGGGTTATCAATTCCTTCTCAAGGAGTTCTTTCTTATAGGAAATCAGTTTTCAACACCTGTTATCTAAGAGAAAGTCGATCTTTACGGAAGTGGCTGTCGGCATTCCCTGTTTTTCCTGATTTTTTTTTTTTTTTTTAACAGGAATGTTGGCCTGATCGGTTTGGAACTCTGGTAACAGTACCTTTTTGGAACCGTGCTGTGTGTTGGCTTTTATATAAGAGTTTCATTTTACAAAATAGGTTGCCATCTTAGTTTTGGTTTCTTAGTCTATTGTCCCTGATACATATACAATAAGTAGGTTTATGAATAACGTCAAACAACTAAAAACAAATTTCTTGAGATAAAAGTTTTAAAATAGCTTTTTACTTGTAAAACAGAATTCAACCAAACAAACAAAAAACCCTAAGCACTGACAATAATTCTTTGCTTGGTCAAACAATTAAGGTTTCTGAATCTTCTGCTGGGCCCATCTGCACTTCCTTATAAAATCCAGTTTTAGCAAATAACCCTTCTAACTTAATTTAGCAAGAAGCCCCATTCTCAATATTGATATCTAATCAGGTTCCTCATCCTCCACCATCCCCCACATGAGGCCTGAACACCCTGTTCTGACTTCAGCAAGAATCCTGTTTCCTTGGTTTAGTCAGAATCCCCCTTATCCCTCATGTTTCCTTGGTAATTTTCCATCCACTGCCCTTGTCCTGCATGCTATAAATTCCCGCTTGTCCATGTTGTATTCAGAGTTGAACCTAATCTCTTCAACTTGGCAAGACCCTGCTGCCATGATCCCTATACCTGTCACTATGGCCCTGAATACAGTCTTCCCTACCATGCTTTGACAAGAATCATTGAATAACATTTTTCGTTAAAAACACAGATCTTGCCACATTTTGTAAGTTTTTATTTTCTTTTCTTTGGTGGTTTGTCTTATTTTAAAGTAGTTTACAAGAATATGAAAACAAAGTTTTGAACATGCCCGAATATAAATGCGATAGAAAAATAGTCATGATCTAGTATGGTAATTTTCCTGCAATAATTTTTGAGTCACTCAAAAGAAACATTTATTACTCATTTACTAAGTCTAAAAGATAACTAGGACATGATCTCAGTCCTCAAGATGCCTGAGTCAAAAACAAATGGAAAATGAGGCTAGCTGTAGATTTCAGTGAGCATGAGGAAAAGCACAGGTTAGACATATGAAACTACATCTCGAATTACATTAGAAAGGATTCTCACTCTGCTTTCTGAAGATACATTCTTTCTTCCAGAAAAATCCATTTAGGCACCAGCTGGAAATCCTAAGGGAAAATTAAATAATGATGTTTTCACTCAGACAGCATCTTTTGTGGGTCAGTAGCATCAGGATACAATGCCTTATAAGGATCCCCATATGATATAAGGGCATTTATAGGTCTCCAGGAACCTGGAAAGTACAGGATCAAGATGTAGCAATTCCTGCAAAAGTGCCTGTAATTAACAAAAATGAACAGCAGTGTTTTTATAGCTGTAGCCTGGAGACTATTGAGTTAAAAGAAATTATAAGAAAAATCAACAAAATCTTATGACCATGGCATTCTATCATGTTACCTGTCACACTTCATTGTGGCAACTCCAGCCCCGACTGACTTTCTGAGGTCAGAAACCTGTCTATCTTATTTACAACTAGATCTCCAGTATCTAGCACAATGCTTGGAACATTAGTAAGCACTCAATATTTGTCAAATAAACAATGGAGAGCATGAATAAATCTACACAGTCCCAGAATATTACTAAAACAAAATATTTTGCATAAAAAGATTAAGAACATTTCTTTGCTTTTTGATGAAGATGGCAGTTTTGCCATCTGACTGATCATTTTTTTAAATTCTATTATACCTTTACAACTATCTTCTTTTTTGCCCAAGTCATGATCAGTATAAAGGGATTTTTTTTCTTTAATTAATTGTATGATTTCTCTACTTCAGAACTCATTTGAGGCTCATGGCAGTTGTTCTTCTTACACTATAAAAGGTAGTAGATATACTGAGATATTTGCAGCAATCTCAACTTCTACAAAAAGCAAAAGGCTTTTATGAGATGAGTACCACTTCATTCTAGTTTAAAGATAATACTATGGTTTATGGTTTCTCAATAGTTGTTAAATAGTACTCATCAATCCAAGGTATTTTTATGATTATGATTATGATACTTTGCCATCTCTATGAGATGAGCTAAGGTGTCTATTGGAATAAAAATACTATATAAACAGAAAATATGTGAGATGTAATGCACTGAAGCTGCTGTTTGGTCATGTACTACTAAGTAACAAACTATATCAATACTCAGTGGCTTAAAACAACATGAGTTGTTATTTTCTATGATCCTGTAGTTGATTGGGTGGCAATTCTGTCAGACTTGCTGAACTTTCAGGCAGCAGCATTCAGCTGGCAGGTTTGTTGTGGGCTAGGCTCAGCTGGGACATTTGGGATCACTGGGAAATTCTCTTCATGTAATCTTCATTTCAGGCTTTTTCATATACCTCGTGGTCTCACAACAGTATTCTAAGATGATGATGGTGGAAGCTAAGGGATCCCTAAGATCTGTGCTCTGGTTCTTAAATATCACTTCTTATCACATTCTCCCACCATCAATAGCTTTCTCAGCCTGCTTCCTGCTCTCTCGGTGCGGCGTGGGGGTGGGGTGGGGTGGGGAACAAGCACCCAGAGGCCTCTTCATAATCAAAGGAAATCACAAGGCTGGTGGAGGAATAAATTCCATCACTTCAAGGGAAGTGTTAGCAATGTCACATTGCAAAGGGATGTGGAACACAGGAAGGCATGATCCATTGGATATTAGACAGTCTGCCCACTGGTCACTGTGGTTTGCATTTCCCTGGAGGCAAACTACACTTATCTACTCCCAACACCCCAAACTCTAATTTAGTCATTAAAGTCAACTTTATGCATCTTTCACCTAAATCTGATCCAGGTTCTGTCAAACTTCCTGGGGGATGATTCTACAGGTTTAGCTCCTTGGGTACAGCATCTGTTGATGCAGAGACCTGTGAACTAAAAGGACAAAGCATGTGCCTTTCTTCTCTCCCAGCCATCCCAACCCCCAACATTTAACAGAGTAACAGGAACAGGATAACAACTAACAGAAGAAGAGGAGGGTGTATTCTGAATAGAAGGTACATAGAATACATGGGATGACAGAATTCTGAAATCCAGTTGGACACATGTCACAAGTTGTTTTGACCCCAGAGGCAGGGAATGCTTCTTTATTAGGGCACAGTCTTCTGTTGCTACTCCTTTTCCTCATCTATTCCTATCCTTAGCTCTTGGCCTTTCCTGCTGAGTCTGGTCTTTTTCATAAGAAATGGCTCCTGTTTGCAGCTGCACAGCTTTCTCAGCCTGCCTCTCCACAAAGTCAGTTGGGAGCCCAGAGACCTCTTTTCATTTTGAACTGCCTCTGTCCCTTTTAATCCAAATTGACACAACTTCCTTAGAAATGTGTGGAGTTTTCCTGTGAATTTGAATGGGGTTTACTTCATGCTCGCAAAGCCACAAACATGAATTTTTTTTTTTGAGACAGGTATTTCTCTATGTTCAGGCCACATTTGAGGGCCTTCAAATTCTTAGAAGCTCGTTTGTCTATTTAAGGAAGTCTCCAAGTCACTGCTTGAGTCTCTCAGTGTCTATTTAAGGAAGTCTCCAAGTCACTGCTTGAGTCTCTCAGAGGTCTTCAGGATGGGTTTTACAGCCATATCCATGATTTGAACTTTCTTCTGAGGCCATTTCTTACATTGAGAATCTTTTGCTAGATGAAAGACTGTCTTGAGCTCTCTATATTTCCTCTAAATTCAATTGCAAACTGAAAGTTCCTACTTAGTTCATCTCTGTGGTTGGCAAAATAATGCCTCCCCAAAGATGTCCATGCTCTAATCCCCAGAACCAGTGAATATTTTACCTTACTTAGCAAAAGGGATGTTGCAGATATGATTACAGGGTGCAGAACTTCAGAAGGGAAGATTATCCTGGATGATCCATGTGAGTCAAACCTAATTATGAGTCTTTAAAAGCTGAGAACCTTTCTCAGCTGTAGTCAGAGATATACACAGGAGAGATTTAAAGTGAGAAAAGGACTTAACCTACCATTGCTGTCTTTGAGGATGGAGGAAGGAATCAAAGAGTATGGGTGTCCTCGAGAAGATGGGAAAGACTTTTAGCTGACAGCAGCAAGGACATATGAATGTTAGTCCTAAACCACGAAGAACTGGATTCTGCTAACAACCCAAATGAGCAAAGAAATAGATCTTCCCCTAGAACTTCTGGAAAGGGACATAGCCCTGATGACACCTTGATTTTAGTCTTTAAGCCATGATAAACTTCTGACTTACAGAACTATGAAATAATAAATTTGTATTAAGCTGCTAAATTTGTGGTAATTTTTATGGCATCAACAAAAAATGCAAACTTTCTCTTACAATAACTTATTTTACACAGCTCAAAGAAGCTAGTTGTCGCTTTTAATATTCCATATAGAAATTAGTGAAATTCAACAAGTTCATTAAGCACGTTTTCTATTTTCCAAGTAACTGTTTTCTAGTCTCCAATAGCAATTTCCTCCCTACTCTTCTAATTTCACTGTCTCCTCTCCACCCATTTCTGTATTGTTCTGTGCTTGGCCCTGAAGACAATGCCATATACTTGACATTTTGTTAGAGCAGTATCAA